TTAACCTAATCAGCCCCTCATTACCTTCATGACACAGACCCCAACAACATGGCAACCATCCCATCTGACTGCTGTCCATTACCTGACATCGGTTCCTGTGCTTACTTGCCCTCCTGTGATGACATGGAGCAGATCACCACAATACCTTAACGACCTGCCCCCATTAAAGGGAACGTTTAAAAGGATTCCGCCTGAAGCAGCCCTTTGCCATTGCTTTGCTAAACTCTGGTGTGGTCATGTGCTTTTTAGAGCTATGGCCACTGCCACATTTTCCTAAACTTTGGCCCCCTCCCCTACCTTGGGGAGGTGAATCTCCTTTCTCTTTTCTCTCTCTAATTTACTTTATAAATAAACTACATTCTCTAATCTAACTTCTGTGCAATTCTTTGCATCTTTCAAGCAGCACTGGATCACAGACCAGACACACCCCAGTGGGCCTGACCTAACATTTGGAGGCCCTAATGGGATTTTAACCTAACATTTTGGGAGGTCTCACCAAGATTCTGGTACCTAACACTATGAAAGTAATACAATTCTGTCTGGGTGGCAAAGATGAATGGGGGATTTTAAATGTCTATAACTATAAATGAAAGGTTTGTAGGCAGACATAAAGATAGTTTTTCTAATTATTCTATAATTTCTATATAGAAATGATTTGTATGTTTTTACTAACCTTAAACTTGACTATATTCTGCTTTTAAAATAAATTTTTCCCCCAAAATATGAATGGACATCATTAAAAATAAAGCTATAGAAATTTCACACATCAGTTCATTTTACATGGGGAAAAGTTATCATAATATATTAATTTTAAACAAATATTTCCCCAAACTATATTCAGTTTGATTTTTAGTAAATTTTTTACCTTTTAATGAATTTACTAATTTATAAGTTATATTTGTATTCTAATAATTCCAAACAGAAAGCCTCTTGTAAGGCAAGTCCCAATACTAATCCATGATTCACTATCTAAACTTTAATTGGCACACCTCTTGAAATTCTGGGACCATATGCACTTTACTAGTTTGTAAACAAATAAAGTGAAAGGAAGATGTGGCAGTTTTTAACAAACAAGTAACCTGCAGCATGCCTAACATTAAAAAGCGTTGGCCAAATTATTTTTTGCAATATCTTTACCTGTAGCCAATGATGCTTTATAGACAAATCATAGCAGAGGTTATAGGAACTGTATTAGACATGCAAACATCATTATATGAGTGTTAAGGACAAATGATGAGACTCCGCTAATTATTCAAGACAAAAATATATGTTTCTATAAGTCAGACTTAATGCTCTTTTAACTGACAACACTTTAAGATTACTTGCAAAGACTTCTATCCACAATCAGATGTTTATCTTTTAGCAAAAATGGTGGAAAGGTAAGATTTCAAGTAGATAAGCATTATGTAGCCTTATTCACCTGCCATAACAATGTAAAGCCAAATCACAGGGACCAAGAGACTTGTGACTTTTTCAGAGGACATGTAGATGTAAAAAGCTTAAAAGGATTATTCATGTAGAATAAATATTAAATTTGCCTGGCAAGTCTAGAGGGTATATTATGTTATAATTTATAAATACAGGAATAAAAATGGAAGGAGAAATATTCAAAATACAGTCTGTCCATTTTTTCCAACACATTCACTGACATTTAAAAGTATTTAAAGGCTACACGGCAATATAAGAAGCCTCATGTAGACTAAACATCCTTTCTAGTAGAGTATATAAATGTGTGTGAGAAAGCAATAAAAAATCATTAGTCAAGTATAAAGGGGTGAATGGGTAATAGTTCAGAGACATATGCTATCAGGGAAAAATAGAAAATGAAATAGTTTAACTACTGAGTGCGAAAACCTTGAAAGCAACAACACCAGGAAAGCTGGGAGGCAGTAGCTATAGCAAAAGAAAGCACATTAAATAATTCCTTTAATCTGTTGTTTGGATATTTGTCCTTTGAAGGCTTCCATAGAGTTAGATGGAGGGAAGAGATGTAAGCTTTCTAGCTAATCTGAATATATAGGTAGTCATTCCACATAATTTGTGTCCTAATATGGTTAGTTTTAGGGGTCTAAATGCTCCAATTTAAACTGGCCTTGCAAATTACCTGACCTTGCAAATAACTGCTTCAGCATGTAAAAGAGAGTTCGGGGCAATATGTTATATTTTTATAAAAGTAGTAGGTTCTGTTGGGCAGATTCACAGTAATTTTAGATTAAAAATTAACATAAAATATAAAATAGAGTCAATAATGTAGCATGCTTTTGTTTCAGATGCTGCAATAATGTTAAAGGCACTTTGTTTTAAAGGTTTTCCTAAGGTAATTCATTTTACATGGTAATCTTGATTTTATAGCTCATTATTACATATTTCTGTAATGTGCTTTTCAAATAAGAACAACTTCAAAATTAATTAATTGAATATCAGAAATATTTAGTATATACAGCTGCCTATGGAATAAAATATACAGTAAAACAAAGAATAAGACAAGAGCATATGCAAAAAATGATACTTTTGAGGCTTCTACATTAAGATTGCAGATGTGAATTAATTATTAGCAACTTAAATTACAAAGACAATATATCACTGAAAGCTTGTTTTCATTAACTGTTACTATTGTATGTTGTATATTGGACTTTTCCCTTATCATAATAACATGATTTGATTTTGCCTAGTTTATACGCTACTAAATACACTTAATTTCCCTTTAAAAATACTCAATGGTCTAACATCAAATAAAGTCTCTTATTACTCATTTGTCCACCATTATTTACCAACATGACATTATATTTGCCTTAAGTGCAAAAGTATAAAGATATAACGTTCTAAAATAATATAACTAATAGTGAGGATGTCTCAATTATCTAGATTGATTTTTCTTCAAAGACTATGTGAATAAATATTGTAAATGTATAGCCCAATATTCCACTGATTTATACAGTTATTAAATGGGAGAAGTTATCCTATAGGAAAAGAAATCACCAAAAATTTAAAAAAAGAGGAAAAAAATTCTTTGGTAAAGAAGAGATCATTACAAATTCTAGAACTTTTTAAAATAAGCCTAGCATTTTCTTTGGTCCTATTTTTGTATCATAAGTTTAATTCTTGTTAGTCTCTCTAACAGCAAACCCCCAAAGTTTAATAATGTGGCAAGCTTCTGCTCTCTCTCTCTGGCTACCACTCTTAGTAGGCTCTGACTAAAGATGGTCCAGGGCAAGTGTTAGCAATGAGTTAGACTTTAGCCATATGCTACTGATCACCTTGATGGACATGGCACAGGGGTGACCAAATAGCTGTCAGTGAAAGCTTGGGCAATGCATGATAAATTTGTTTTCAATTTTATGTAGTTGGTAATAAGTACATATCTGCAAAGTAAATACTGAAGGATGTCATAAGTAGAGTAGTTAATGCAAAATAAAGCACATTAAGAGATACCAAATTAAAACATTCAGAGTTGGTATTCTTCATTTTCCCATGAAACTCTATGGCTGCTTCTCAAGGATTATTCTTCCCACAGATGGAAGAGGTAAGTTCCTCACATGGTGTTATTTAAAGGAAAGTTCTTCGAAATACTTCCCTCTTAGTTTTCCAGAGAATTTCCATTTCCCAGCTGCCATGACATTTCCAATATTAGAATTCTTTTGGGTTGGGTATGAACGATAGGAAGGGAATGATATGAATTAATAAAATGTTATGAATTAGTTGATCAGATTAGCCAATTTATACCATGAAAGAATTAATAGCTAGGAGGGAGACACTTCTAGATGCTGAAGACAAATGTCCATTTTAGCAGTTTTCACAGCTTAACATCATTAAAGGTGAAAGGGACAAATGTATCCATCAGCAATATTAAAAATACTGGCATCAAATGGACTATTTATGTATTAAGGGGCTTGCAGTAGGTTTATGTTTGGATATGACTAATTGTTTCATCACACTCAGAAGCAAGGATACTGTGAAAAAATGATACTCCTTGCATTTAGTTAAAGAAACTTATTAAAAGTTGCACAAAAACATAATTACTGCCTAAACTATCCCACTATATTCTCAACTGGTTCTGAAGGTCAGAGCTGTGTTCTTAATCTGTGTCCCACTGTCCAAAGGAGGATTTTAAATGTCTATAACTATAAATGAAAGGTTTGTAGGCAGACATATAGTTTTTCTAATTATTCTATAATTTCTATATAGAAATGATATGTATATTTTTACTAACCTTAAACTTGACTATATTCTGCTTTTAAAATAATTTTCCCCCCAAAATATGAATGGACATCATTAAAAATAAAGCTATAGAAATTTCACACATAAATTCATTTCATATGAGGAAAATTTATAATATATTAATTTTAAACAAATATTTCCCCAAACTATATTCAGTTTGATTTTTAACAAGCTTTTTACCTTTTAATGAATTTACTAATTTATAAGTTATATTTGTATTCTAATAATTCCAAACAGAAAGCCTCCTGTAAGGCAAGTCCCAATACTAATCCATGATTCATTATCTAAACTTTAATTGGCACACTTCTTGAAATTCTGGGACCATATGGAAAATAATGAGTCCTAATAGGTCTAAGGTGAAAAGATGGCAGGAGAGTAAGGAAGCCAGAAAACCATCAATTCAGAATGTTTAGCAACTGCAACACAATTTCCCCAGAGATTTAGAACAATGTGTGTTCTCAATGTTTTATTGGTCTTGCTATCAAATAAATAAACTGCATATTATTTCTCATTCTATAGGATAAAGATTAAAATGACAAAACAGAAACAAACCAAAAACTGGTTTCCATAATTAAAAATGAAATTGGCTGACTGTTAATTTTTAAAGAAGACAGCAGTTTAGAGTTACCATAACAACCTGATGCAACTGTTGACTGACATGGCAATCTGTTATATTTTTATAAATAGCAGTTGATTTCTCTGCTTTCATTTCAACTAGTTTTAGTGCTTATTGGGGCTAATGGAACAACTGTGCTTTAAGACTATTTCACTCATCAGTGTACCTCTTCGCTGCTGTCACTGCTATAAAAATCATCCTCCAATTGAGTGTCTCTCCTTGTCACACTGTTATCCTCTTTTAGATCCAAAAGGAATAGGAGCCCCTCTGGGGACATATTCTGAGTTTTTCCATGAGGTGCTGATCGTGGTCTTGATGAAAAAGTGAAAATATCCTTTGGAACAATCTGTGTTTCTTCTGCCTGTTGGTCATATTCACTTTCCTTGCTGGCTTCTAGCAACAGGTGTGAAGTGTTGCTGGAGTCATCATCCAGAAGTAGGGATTGTCTCCTGGATGCCAGACGGGGAACGTGATAATCATTTCCAGGAAATATCCACTCATCTGACATTTGGGGAGAAATGACAAAAATTAGAATAGTGTTCCATAAAAGTGTTATTTTAGGTAAGTAGTTGGTTTAGGCTAAAATTTCTTGTTGTTGAAACAGATTTATCAAATAATGCAAAAGCCAAGGAAGGCAATGTATCTACCATCTTCTAACCTGCTAAACATTCAACCCATTGATCAGTGCCTATAGCTAAGGGCAACTCATTTGCACTTCCTCTCCAACTAAGCTGAAACACTGGCCAGGACATTTATAAGTCTGAAATAATTATCACCTGTCTTGCAGCAAGTTTTTTATAGCATAACCTCATTAATTTGACATTGTGGAGGAGCATCTTCCACATTTAAAAAGGGTTGAGTTATTAAAATCTCCTTCAGGAGGACAGAGTACTTAACCAGTTTCTTCAAATAAAATGTCTGGTCATTGTTTGGATTAGAAATTATGGAGAAGAGAAAATAATGAAAAGGTTGAAAGTCTTTTTCTCTCTATTCTACTGACTGAAACAGGATAATTTACAGACTAAACTGAGTAGACTTTTCAAGTAATAGTAAATCCACAGAAATATTTGTTTATCTTAGTAGTGAATTCTGCTGGATGAACAAAGACCTTTATGTTTTAACTTAGAAAATATTTTGACATGAAAATCTTTTTGCACATCTTTTGTTTTCTTTAAAAATATTGTATGCTACCACCAAGATATTTTTATCAAAACTTCTTAAGATGTCAATCTTTTATACCAAATTGAGAGATTTTATAATTATGTGACCCAGGCAAGTTGGTATAGACAGATCTTCATAATGATATCATTAAAAATCATGTGTTTGGCCAGACGCAGTGACTCAAGCCTGTAATTCCAGCACTTTGGGAGGCCGAGGTGAAGGGATTGCCTGAGCAACAACCTGGGTTTGAGAACAGCCTGGGCAACTTGGCGAGACCTCATCTCTACAATAAATAAAAAAAAATAGCGCACACCTGTAGTTCCTTGTAGCTACTTGGAAGGCTGAGGCAGAAGGATCGCCTGAGCCCAGCAAGTTGACGCTGGGGTGGCTGTGAGTGTGCCACTGCACTCCAGCCTGGGCGACGGAGTGAGACTACAACTCAAAAAAAAAAAAAAAAATTATGCGGGCTTTCTTCTAAAAAATGACAGTAGGAAAAATTCAGCATTTTCTCAATTTAGTCTATTTTTCTTGAAATTTACTTTTGTTTTTGCTGCATTTTTCAGCGGCAAAGTCTTGCAGAAATCAGTTCTGCAGATCCATAATGTGAACATGTAATTTTACACCTGATTCTTGCATCCTATTATATTTATGATCATGATAAAAGTAACAAAGAGAGATCTAAGATTTGCCAACTCTAAAGCCTATACTGCAAAGCAAAAGCAAAAAACAAGCAAACCCTTCCCAAATTATCCTTGATAAAAATAACAGTTATCAGCAACCCCCTCGGGTCCCCTCCCACTGTGGGAGCTTTCCTGTCCTCTCAATAAATCCTGCTTAAAAAATAAGTAAATAAATAACATTGATGGCACAAATAAAATATTTTATAACCTTCATCAGTTTCTTAGCCCAAGTTACCGTTACATAACTTGCCTGTAAAAAGTGTGATCAATGTACACTTCTTAGAGAAAAGTCTACCAAGGACAAGGCCTTCATATATCCAGGGACAGTTTGTAGGTATATGCCCAGTGGTTGACTGAATCTACTACTTTGCAGGGGTTGTATCTGTTCCTGAGTTATTGTAGCTGCAGGCCAGTGAACTGCACAGATTCACTAGGCGCTCCTATTATGGACAGTAAGCCGTTTTGCTTGGTGTTAGGCATATAGCAGGTGCTTTATAAATACAGTAAGTACTCTATAAATGCTTTTAAAAAAAGGACTAGAAAAACCAAAGCGTTGCATTATGTACATGGATATGTGAAGAAAATTGGAGGAAAATATACTGGGATTCTTCGTTAGGCATTTAGATAATTTGTATGACCTATTGCCAAACATATTATTAACTGTCAGAAAGTCAAAGTAGAAGGAGTGTTTTACACCAAACTAACTCTAATCTCACTACCACATGCATTTTTGGAATTTGTAGTTTTACCTCAAGTATTTCCATATCAATTGTAATGAATAATTTGGTGTGTTTTCTCAGGAAAATATGTAAATTACTATGTAATCACAATATTGCAGCAAACAAGATAAATGCAAGAATGATCACCTAAACATCTAATTAGTTTTTCTACACAGTCAGATTTATGCTAGAGACACTAATTGCACCTAACATTTTAATGAAGGTTTCAACATTGCATAAATAAGACTGACAAACTACAAACAATTTTCATTTATTTTCTTTTTTCCCTTGCTCAAAAACAATTCGCCTTTGTAAAAGTAGCACACACCTGCTAGGCAAGATATGTTGATGGGCTCAATGCTCTCAGTTCCAACTATCTCCATTATAAAGAGGACTGGAGAAATGCAACAACAGATTATCTCTGGGGAAGGTAACAGTGTCATGGGAAAATGGCAAAGTTTTAAACTTCTATTCTGAGCAGGACAACCAGTGCATTAAAATTTGAAAATAAAAATACTCTTTCATCCATTAAAGTTTGACATAAAATTGAGGTTAAATAAGGAGAATGACAAAAACTTACACATTTTAGCAAATGGCTGTATCACAACTTTTCAGAAGGACTGGATTTGATATATTTGGCATATTTATATTCTATGAGTTATGAACAAATATGGTGTAATAAAGATGCCAACCTGCTTGATCAGGAGACGGAAGACCTGGAGTGCTAGGGTTAAATGTCTTTGCTTCTTGTTGGGACACAGTGGTGAGGACAGTTGTTGCTTTATCTTCATTCCTGTTATTTCCTAAAGAGCAACCTTGATGGAAATAAATATTTTCCACTCTTATTACATCATTTGAAATTTATAAAAAGTAATTTTTGAAGAATAGTTTAATTTGGTTTACTTTTCTATCTAATTTCTTAAAAACAGATTGGAGGTAATGATGTAAATTATATGTAGGTTTTTTTTCCCCAGTAGAATGTTTTAAGATGAACTCAGCTGCATTTTGATAGAGGTTCATTTTAAACTTCTTTGATATTTGCACAGGGGCATTTTAGATTTAAGTTTTACAATATGTGATAAAAATACCAAAACCCATATAATTTTTAAAGGGTCTTATTTTTTTCTTAAATTCCACATAAAATTAAGTGTGTTTTCTTTAAATTATAATTCTTACTCAATGTGACTCATTTCAACCAAGCTCTTTCCTTCAGCACCTTAAGAAAATGGATGCATGCATTATTGCAGAATTAAATTTTCTATCTACTCTTTAATAAAAATAACATGAAACGTAGCAGGCTGAATTTCAGCCAACCCAGGAACCTTGCATTTTTGAGAAATTATGGTAATAGATGTGTGCATGATACACTTTCAGCTGGATTCAGGATAGGCTGATATATATGTATACAAATCTATACATACATCCCTCAAATCCAATATTTAAATAAATAACTATATTTTTTGAATGCTTTACTGGTTGCAAAGAGTTTAATTTTTAACCTACATTATATCATCTGGCAAAGAACCCAAAGGAAGAGACAGTAAATATAAACAACAATCTGAAAAGAGCTCAATTTAAAAAGAAAAAATATAAATGAAACACGAAGAATTATAATAAAATTTAATTTTAGTAAAGTCTGCAAGCAGGAAGTTTTTCTATCACATTTGGACCATTTTTAAAAAACAATAATTTAAGCTTATTCAGCCTTTGAGAGTAAAAGTAGGAAGTCCTTTATTTCTGTGGTACTGTCTATTTAATCCAGCAAATCTCTGTTAGGGCTCTAGAGCAATTCTTTTGCAGAAAATTTGATTTCCATAATCCCTGTAGAACAGGCATTTATATTTTAAATGAATTGGTTCATAATCCTTTGAAATTTACAACCTGCAGAGAGAGATTCCATTGCCCTGAATAATATACAGATATAAGATAGGATTGAAATAGTGCCATACCGCTGGGTGTCTCTGTCCTTTCTCTGCTGGTGCTTTTTAACCGTAATCTTCTTCTGTTATTATTCTTATCTGCTGATAGTTCTTGAGGGGGATGCGGATGCATAATATGTAGATTGGCTGGTACATTTTCATATCAAAGAACAAAAGCCAGAACAGAAAGTACTATATGGCTTGAAGTAACTCAGCAAATATAATTATTGCTATAATGAGAATATTCATGTATCATTTTGAAATAATGGGAAGATGTATCAAAAACACAACTTATTCCTTCATAGAAAATAGGCATTTATTCCTATTCCAATATTAGGATTTTATCAGATTTTCAAAATTACTGATACATTTCATTCATGTATTATAACCTTATACAGAGCTACAGGTAATTTGATTAACATTAATCACACAACATACTATATTAAAATATTTTTTAAAAAATGAAAATGACAGACAATACAGAAAAATTACTTCTTCCTCCAAAAGAGGAAGTGTGACTAAGTATGCTTTCAACAAGAGCTTAGAGAGCAGCTTCTGAAAGAACCCAAGTCAAGCCTGTAGAATAATTTTTAAGTATAATTTAACTCTGTAGTAATAATATTTATAGCAGTATTTACATTTACTGAATGTTTAATTTATTGGTGCAATACAGAACACTGAACTGGTTTTTCTCAGTGAATTCTTACTCTTTGAGATAGCTGCTATGTATTATTAGTACTAATGCAAGTAGTAATAGTGTCCTCATTTTCAATAAGGGGAAACTGAAGGTCACAGAGTTTAAGAAACTTGATCAAGGCCTCATAAATAGTCAGCTGGAACTTGATATCTATGCTACTTGCTTCCTTATCTAAGCTTCATACTCCATGGAGGATATTGTCTATAATAGTGATCATTAATTTCTAAATCAAATCAAATGAATTCAAACGGTCCCCTTTTCAACTCTCACTGAAGTCAGGCCAGTGAAGGTAGAAAAAATGACAGGGAGTTCTAAGTCTTGAGTTCTGGCCTTAATTCTTTCTAATGATTACAAACTTTACCTATTTGTTAGCCTTGAAATCTCTCTGTAAAATGGGACAAAAGTCCTTTCTTCACTCACAGGGTTGCTTTTGTATCAATGAGAGAAACGAAAGCATACTTTATAAATGGAAAAGATTAATTAAAAGATAAAATTAAGCTAAAAGATAAAATTAAGCTAAGAACACTTAAAATACACATGGAGTTTACAAAATATAGTGATAATGAGATGCTATTTTATTTTTGTATCAGTTATCATAAAGCCATAGGGCACTATAGCAATTTGAAATAGTGGGGTAAATAGAATGATAGGTTCCAGAAGCTAATATGTGAATAAGAATTCTAAGTATATTTTGAAATCTACCACCCTTTTCATTATTAAATGATAACTCTCTGGACTTAAGATCTAGACATAAATATAACGGCTGATTTATCTTAATAAGAACATTTCTCACTATTTTCACTAGTTATCAATCTTTATGTATGATTCATTCTTACCATGAATAGGTACTGCCTGCTTCATTTGGCAAATATTTTCCTTATCTCCTTGCCCCTCAGACTCAGCTATCAGCAAGGCTGACATTTCTGTACTGTTAACACACTTTTCTATGGTGGATTGCTGGCATGATCGGTTATTTTTGGACCCAACAGGTCTTATTGTCTGTAAGGAAAAAAATTTAATCAGTACATTTAAAAATATAGAAAATATTTTCTGTAGAAGCTACATAGGAAAAGTATTATTTCGATAAATAAAGAGTAAGAAAAAAAGTAGAGGAAAAAGATTAAAAGTGATGGAAAGGGAAATTATTACAGGAAATTAGAAATGGAAGGATAAAAATAATGAGATAAATTAGGAGATAAACCAGCCTCCTAGACACATAAGTTAAAATGTGCTTATTTGCTACACTCCATCTTCAGTAGCTAGAAGTGGAATTAAAAATTACAGTATATGTCAGAAAATTCAGAGAAAATTTAAAATAAAAAAATAACATTTGAGAATTTGTTCATTGTAAGGGGTCTGATCACAATCCAACTCCATTTTTGAAGAAGATGGCAAAATGTACCCACTTATATTTGCCTATAAGTTTTGTGAACATTTTTAATGACAAGAATACTAAGAATGCTAATTATGTTGACATGACAAATATGAAACAGTTTTGAAGTCTTTTAGAATCCAGAATTTCTGTTCCAAATTTATTCAAGCCTTCTGCTTTGGCATGTAGTGTCTGTCTGTCTGTCTGCCCGCCCCTCTTGCTCCTCATACACAAAGGGAAGAAACCTTCTCTTACCATGTCACTCATGTTTAGATAAGATCTTCAAATCTTGCTCCTACCTCGCTGGATATCCTCATGTTATTCCTTCTGCCAGAGAGAGGTGGTGGCCCAAGAACTTTGGATCCAAAGGCAATATGACAAACATCTTGATTTTTACTGTTTCGCACACTACTCGTTCCTCTGTTAATGAACTGATCTGTTTTGTTAAGGGAAGGTAATAACATTCCATTAATGGGCGTAATGACAAGCACTACAGGGCATTCTTTCTGAAAGTACAGTTCAGGAGCCATGTGATCCAAATTCTCAGCACTTATTAAAATGCAGATACCGGGTCCCAACATCAAAGCTATCAGATTTATAGAATTCAAATATTGAGGGAGGAGCCAGAAAACTTTAAAATTCTCCCAAGTAATTTTTATACTCACCATAATTTGAGAACCACTACCACAAATGTTCTTCTTCAAAAAAAGAAAGTAAAGCTACTAAAAATACATCTTATTTCCTCTTTAAGAAAATAATTTAAATAAAATTAATTCACTTAACTGAACAAATATCTACCTGAGTATTCTCTCAGGCATTTCTAGAGGTTGTTAGTGACATTAAATGCATAAGACCTATATTGCTTGCCCTCTGGAAGTCTGGAGGGAGGTGACAAGATAAGTAAACAGGTTACTAACATAATATGGACCAGTGAGAATGGAGAAAAAGTGACCTCTTGATGGACCTTATTGAATTGAATAACTGGTAAGATTTTGAGAATAAGAGGAAAGTGCCTGAGTAAAGGCTTGGAAGAGGGAAAGAGTAGGGTAAGTTCAGGGGTAATACAGTGACTAGCTCAGTTGGAAGGAGAGGCTAAGATCACACTGAAAAGAACCTTAAAATGTGGAGAGCCTATTCTAAATTTGCTATGCAACAGGGAATCTCCAAAGGCTTTAGGAAGAAAGCGAGCAAACTAGTGTCAGCTTCAGGAAAGGGCATGTGTCCTTACAAAATCCTGCTGCCTTTCCTTCTGCACATACAGCTAAATTAGGTTTCCGAGCATTCCTTGCAGTTATATGGGTCATATGACTGAGTTCTGGCTAATGGAATGTGAGAAGTGTCAGTCAATTCCTGGCTCCTAAAGCCCCCTGCAGAATCCCCTATGCTCTCTATTCCCTCGTCTCCTGATAAAATGCAGACGATCTTATGGTGGACTTTAAGGTCCTCAGGGAAGCAGCTAGATGAAAGGTCTCTGAATGGCCACATAGAAGGATGTTCAAGGAACTCCTGATTGGACTAGGACTGCGGGGTTCTTTGTGACTACAATTAGTTTCCTGATGGCCCTTAACTCAAAACACTACCCACTATCTGGAAATCCTTCTGCTGTGCCCCACTTGCATGACAGGACCAATTTAAATATTATGATGATGACCCCAAATAAGTCCACATTTGTCTAGTCCTGGACATATATGAGTTACTGACCACTTCCTGCTTGACTTACTCCCCACAGAAATTTCTGTAGTTAGCTAGTTGGACTCATTAGTCTCTGCTGTGGAGCTGTAATTTTACATGTGGTGGGATTAAGAAACACTACTATGTAATAGGATAAAAAAGGCACACAAGTTTGTGAAAACATACAATACTCAGGAAGCTTCAAATATTTAGTTTTCAGTGGAAGTAATGTGTGTGGATGCTTGGGTGTTATTTGGGTCTGTTTTGTGTTTGTAGTAAATAAAACTGAAGAGATAAGTAGGGGCTAGACCATTGAACTGAACTGAAATAATTTTTGCTGAATAGAAGATCTGAGGGAGATGATTAAGTGGTGAGGAGGTATATACCATTTCAATTTTCTTCAAATTCCTGAAGCCCTGTTAGGTAGAAGACAGATTCCATTTGTCTGAGGGGCAGAATCAGAACTAATGAGTATAATTTGCTTCAGGAAGCTTTTAGTCCAAACATAAGAAACATCTTTCTCTAAACATGTCTGGTTGTCGAGGTGGTGAATTTTCTGTCATTTTGAAGGTGTTTAAGCAGAAGTCTGGATACCTAGTCTGGATATTGTGATGACTCTGATGTATATCTCTTACCCTAGTCCTATTTTCTGAGCTCTACTCTTTATAGTGACCTTCTTGACCAGCTCCTCTTCAACGTCTCAAGGACACTTCAAATTGAAAACATGGTCTAATGAATCCATCTAGTCTGAGAAGTCAGAATCTAGGAATCATATGTGACACCTTCCTCCATTCTCTCCATATTCAATCCATGTCTACTTCTTTCCATCTACTTCACCAGCACTGACTTTCAAGTGACCATTCTCCTTCTCCTGGATGACCACAAAGCCTCTCAAGTGATTTACTGTCTCTACTCTGGTATCCTGTTCCATCCCTCCTCCATAAAGCAGCCAGAGAGGTCTTATACAAACAAAAATCCAACTGAGTCATTTCTGATCTTTCTCTTAGAGTTCTTCAATGGCTTTCCTGCTGCTGTTAGGATTCAGAAGAATGCCCTTAACATTGCTTGCAAAATCCTTCATGTTCTGACATACCCCAACCCCTTATACCTCCCGTTTTGCTTTCTTAATAGACTGGCATTCTCAGTTCTTCCTGCTTACCAGCGTGTTTGCACCTGCTGTTTCCTATGGCTAGAAGGCTTTTCCTTTCCTAATGGCCTTTATGTCTAAGCTCACAAATCACTTCCTCAGACAAGTCTTTGCAGACCTTCCTGATTAGGATAAGTTCCCTCAATAGAGGCATTTCCATAAACTCTCCCTTATCTACAATATGTCAGAATACATTAGAATTGAACTTTGACATGTGACTATGAGATATTCTAATTAACACGTGCTTCAGTAGATATAAACTCAGTGCCCTGCTTTTGTCACCCTGAACTGTCAGCACCTAGCTCAGTCCTTGACATAGAGTAGGCATATAATAGATCCTTGCTGAGCAAAATGAATGAACTATTAAATGAAAAGAATCAGAAGGGGAGTTGAATTAAATGACTCACGTATTTCTAACTATCGTTAGAATCTCATTTGAAAAAAAAATATACCTGGGGGTTTTATGTGTGAATTGAGAAGGAAGACTGGACAGGGATGGTATAAAGATGGAAATAATATACACTGGGGATACTAAATTAGGGAAGGCGGGGAGGTTAGGGTTCAGAAGTTACCTATTGGGTACAATGTTCACTATCTAAGGGATGGGTAAACTGAAGCCCAATCCTCACCAGTACACAATATGTCCATGTAACAAACATGCACTTATACCCCCTGAATCTAAAGCAATAATAAAAAAAATCTGCCTGAGTGTTTTATGTGTGAACTGAGAAGGAAGACTTCACAGGACTGGACAACTCCAGAATGTGGGGGATGAGAAAGAAAGGTCAATAATATTCAAGATGTTGATATTCATATAAATGGTGACCCTTTCAGCAGCAGTGCTATGGCACCACAAGCAGATGCCTATTCAGGTTATGTTTGAAATTTCCTAGTGTTACCAAATAGACTTGGCTATGTGTGCATCTATATTTTCCCAGTCATTTATAAATATCCACTTGGAGTAAACAAAATACTGTTAGTACCTCAGGATTGATAATAGGAAAAAATAACACTCAAATTCCAGGCTAACTGGAAAAACCTATTATAGACATCAGTTGTGCCTTTTATGACTACGTAGAACAAATTCAAGACTATTTATTTTGTTCTCCAACATTGATTTTTTCATAGAAAATAACCAATAAAGATATGGAAGGGTTGTATGGGTTATGGCGTGGGCTAGATGGGAATTCTATACCAGCACAGGATCTTTTTTTCCCTCTTCCAATCTTGGGAATTATTCAGCGATAAACTATTTTCTTATGCAAATACTTTACAGGGACAATTTCCTTGATACATTTTCACAGTCCTTATCTGTATGCAGGTTCTTTCTCAACCAACTTAAGTTCTTTTGAGTAGAGAGACCATTTATTTGGTATTATATGTACCCCCAACTGCTAGGCTTAGCATATGGTAGACAATGAATACATCTCACTAAAATTGTGTATAATATTCAAGATTTAAAAGAGAATTTTGGGGAGGAGGGAGTATTTTAGAAATCATATGGACACAGTTCCAGCTATAATCTTGAACAAAATGAACATATTGACTAGTTCATAGCTATTAATACAATTATAACTCCTAAATACCTTACATTTCTTCCTTACCAATGGATATCCAGTGACTATTACACACTTAAACTTGGTATGCTACAGTGTCCTAAATCACAGAAAATAGATACTTTATATTTCATAAGAGGATCTACTATAGAATTTCTTTAAAGAATCATCTACCACAGTATATTAAAATTGAAGTCTGTTTTTGAAAATGTTACATATTTTGGTACTTTTTTTTCAACAAAGTATACCAATTTTCTACTATTTAGTATCTCTTTAATTAATATACTTCTTTAAGCTTGCTATTACAATAAACAGATCAATTCTTAAATACTGTTTCACTTTAATAATTCTGTTTATAATCATATTAATTGTCACAATTATCCCTATAAACATTTATTATGCTATGTATCTACTATAATAGGATCCTAATTAAAACCTACTAAGAAAAGTAATTTAGAACTCTTGTTTCTCAAATAAAAAGTAGAAGGGACAGAGTTTCTATAATGAGAAAAATCTTAATAAAAGAAAACTACAAGCAGAAATGCATGCTTTTGAATTCTAAAAGGGGATCTTTTAAAAGCTGATATCAATATGCATAATATAAGGTTAAAAATCAAGATTAGATTAAAGTCATGCTCTAGGCATTTCATTTTCTTGAGTTTGTGGAAAATGAACTTGGTGTAGGTCAGAGATGTTACCATTAATTATTTTGCTATTTTACTGAGGGGTACATGCCTTTGTAGTTAGATTGTAAAACCTGAGGGTCTACTCTCTAATTGTCTTTTAGAAAAATAAACATTCATTTTTGTCTTACGCTACAATGTTCTAATTATTACAGTCATTTAAGTTTGTAGGATTTTCAAAGCTTAACCAGAAAAACCTGCTGAATTTTCAACTCTAATCACTGAAGGGTCACGCTCAAGACTTACATCTATTATCTAGCCATCAAATCAGAATTAAAGTCATACCAAAACCCAGACTTTGAATTGGATTACTTTTTATTTTATATGTGTGTTGTTATAAAGAATGTAAAAATAGAAAAAAGGCTGATCTAGTATAGCA